GCCTGCCAAGCCCACGACGCCGACGAGGACTGCATGATTTCGTGCTCGCGCTGCCTGCCAGTTTCGTGCACGAGATTTGTTCTCGCGTGCCCGCGATTTGTCCCGCGAGAGCCCGCCTAAATCTCAGATTTGCCCCATGTTCTCTCCTATAAATAGAGAAGGGGTGGAGGAGTTTTTTGAGTGTGGGTTGTGTGGAGTTCTTTTGAGAGAAAAGAAAGAGTGAGTTGAGAGAGAACTTGTAATAGTTTGGTATTCTCCTCATAGTGAAAACCTCCTCCCATGGACATAGGCAAGTTTGTCGAACCACGTAAATATGTTGTCCCGTCCTTTACTGTGTGTTGCCATAGCTTGTAGGTTCCCTTGATATTTCAGTCTTAGAACTGATGAGAGGAAGAGTGTATATTTCACTTTGATGAAATATATCACTTTCGATTCTTGTTTCCTTTGAGAAATAAGAATTTCACTTTCTATTCTTGTTTTCTTTGAGAAACAAGAATATAGAAGTTGACTTGTGCTTTTGTGTCAACAAAAGCCAGGTCTATCTCTCAGGTGATATCGCTTCCGCGGCGTGAGGGCGTGACTCTGCGCCCAACAATTCCTATGCATACCATGACAACTTAGGGTTTCAGATAGCAAAACTTTGAAGATTAATTTTAAATCTAAAGAATGATATGTAACAGAGAACCAGGAATTAGGTGGGTTTCTGTTAGGTAGAGGATTGACTCCGAGATAACTTATTTTGCATTAAGATGTTACAATCAATGCAGACTTCACATTTGAATACATCAAACCTAACTAGAAATGTTATCAAGTTAGTTTGTAATTCACATGTTTACTACAGGGTTTTTCTGATCTAATAGCCTGTTTTTTGGGCAAGATAGTAAACTCTTCTTCTTTTCTACTTAAGATCTTATGCCTTACTAAAGTGATTCCATCTAGCGTCTTTGATTGTATGCCTTTATCTTCCCCTGTAATCAGCTAGGTGATGCACAATGACCTTGACCTTGACCTTGACCTCATTTCCATAACGCATCGGAGCACAAATAAAAACACATCATGTACAAAGGCTTTATCTCTAATACATGTGCTGTCCATATCTCAAAAACCTTATGCCAATCATATGCGTTTTGCTATTGAACATGTACAATATCCTAAGGTTCGAAACTTCAAATTGATGAAAAAATAAAAGGTTAAAGACTTGGATTCTTACAAATTGTGCAAAAGAACAGTGTGCTTGTGTATAGTTAAGGGACAGATACTACTTTTTAATCCTTCTATAAGCAAGAAAACATAAAACCACACAACTTCTCCTTGTCGAAAATCTACCTCCCTTGAGAACCCCTCTCCAACAGAAAATCTCAGGCCAACTCAAAACCGCTCCTCTAGGATGCCTCTACCTGCCCATAAAATTTGAAAGAAAAAAAACAACCCTGATAATTTGCTCGAATGGTAAATGTTCCTCTGCCATTTGCATATAAGGGCAATGTTCATCTCTTGAAGGTTTGTGATATCATTTTGATTACTAGCTATTCTTTCGTTATTTGACACCTGTCAAGTCAAGTCTTGGATTGCATTTCTATGGGAATTATGATTCTTAGTTTTGACTTCGTTCATATTTTTCTAAAGCGAAAAGCTCCTGTAAACTTCAGTGGACTAAGGTCTCTGTCCACCAACTTTTGTATCCTTTGGATTTGCTTTGAGATATGTGTTGACGTGTGATACACATCAAGGCAAGCATCTCAAAGGGAGCCTTCATGTGTATCACACAACACATCTGAAAGCAAATCTAATGGATAAAAAGTTGGCGGACAAAACCCTCAGTGGACTAAAGTTTACAGGAGTTGTCCTTTTTTCTAAATGGTTTTAGCTGGTTTGAAAAGTACTGGCTCATAAATTAGTATAACAGTTTAATGCATTACATTATAGGCAATTAAGGTGTGTCAGTGTGGAAACTATTTTCTTTGTTTTTATCTTTTGTCTTGTTTATAGTTTCTTTACTATCTTGTGCTGCTCTTCTGGAATAGGGAGTCTAGAGTCTAAATAAATTTTAACCATTCAACATTGTTATCAATGCGTGAATCGTGATGCACAATGTGGGGTGCAAAGTCCCCCTACGCGCACATGTGCAAAGCAAAATATGATGCATGGGCCCAAATGAAGCGAGGAGAACACCACACATAATTTTTCAAGATAGATAATCAAGCATGAAAGAATATGTTTATGAGTTTTAACATAAAAATATGTCAAAATAAATAATATCTACTGCCGATAAGTTCTTAATTCATAATGCTAACGCACACAACATTGTAGTAAAGTTCATAATTTTTGAAATCAAAAGTCAAATCAAGACTAATATTAAAGAAAAATCAAATAGTAAACGAGAACGATTAATGGTCCCCAGTCGAGCTAGTAAAATTGTCTCATGAATTTTCTTCTCTTTTTCGTATATGGATTGTCAAGTATAAAGACCCGATTGAAACATTAAGAACAAAAATATATTAGACTACATCTGGCATGTGCCCTATGTGAAGCATCTTCTCGTAGGGTGCTTTAAAGGCGTAAACAGGCGTTGCTGCATCAAATGTGGTGTGCTTTATCACCGCCCCGCATCTTGAGACACAATGAGGTGTGCACATTTGATGACAATGCAATTCAGTATTTTTTGTTGAAAGTCATATTCATGAATATCAACTTTTACTGCAAGGATATCAGTGAAAAGTGGATCACTCCCTTGTCGTCAGTATACTCTCTGATGCTAAGATGATGCTTTTGTTAGTTCCTCTACCAATCTCTAAATTCTCTCTCATGTTGTTTTCTTTCAGGCTCAACCTGCTCTATTTCCTCGCATTTTTGGCCATGAAGCATCGGGGTTCTCCTTTCCTCCCATCTACGCATACATACACACCTACACGAAAAAAATACATTTAGTATTCACTATTATTTAAGTACATTATGCGTTAAAACTTTTTTTGACAGGATTGTTGAGAGTGTGGGAGACGGGGTAACCGAATACGAAGTTGGAGATCACGTACTCACAGTATTTGTCGGTGAGTGCATGCACTGCAAGCATTGCGTATCTGGTAAGAGTAACATGTGCCAGAAATTGGGTCTTGAAAGGAAGGGTGTTATGCACACGGATCAGAAGACTCGGTTCTCAATCAAAGGAAGGCCTGTTTACCATTATTGTGCAGTTTCAAGCTTTAGCGAATATACGGTAGTTCACTCTGGGTGCGCAGTGAAAATCAGCCCAGCTTCTCCGATGGATAGGATCTGCCTTCTAAGTTGTGGTGTTGCTGCCGGTAAAGTTATTGTCATTCTTTTGTGCTATATTTAAGTTAGAGCTATATGTTTAGAGGTACCTGCATAAAATCCTTATGTTAAAGTTTATGTTTCACACGGATGAAATGAGAGAGAACCAATTGCTATGATTTGGCTCTATGTAACAGAGGCTACTAAATGCAGTAGTCAGGATAAATGATAATATTACAGTTGACGGCAAGGAGTACTAGAAGTGGGCCTAAGTGAACTTGATTGGAAGCAATCAAGAAGGCTATGATAATGGTTAGCTTATGTTAGGAGATGGCCCTCATCAAAATTGAATGGAAGAATAGGATTCACGTAATCAATGCCCAAAAAATAGGAGTAGAAGTTTTTTTTTCTTTTCTGTATCTTAATTGATGCTATTTGTTTCAGTCCTTATGAATTGCAAATGCACATGCAAATTCTTTACTCTAGGTGAACATACAGAGAAGTTCATGTTGGAAACCCTTGGCATTAGCGGGTTTTATGTGAAATAAAGCATGAAATAGCAAAACCAGGTCATGTATATTAAGTGAAGCACACATGTGACTAAATCCTTGACTATGAAGTAAGAGATCTTTAAAACAAAGAGCCTTAAACATGTGCTAATTCTACGATGCTACATGTGATTGAAGGCAAAATTGAATTAAATTGGGTCCATTGCAAAAATGCATAGTTTCTATATTTTGAAATATACGCATGGTTTTCTCTCTCATGATGCATTTTTTTAACCTTTTCCATCTTATCACTTGTACATTTTAATTTCTAGGCCTCTGGCAGATGCAATCATACTGCCTCAGATAAGACATTTAGCATTCTTTTCTCTTTTTATGTAATTAGGCATTGGTGCAGCTTGGAAAGTTGCTGATATATCCAAAGGATCAACTGTAGCTATTTTTGGTCTTGGAACTGTAGGCCTCTCAGTGAGTAACAAGAAACTTACTACAACCTTTTTTAATTATACATAACGCAAAAATTGATCGGATATTTTATCTTATTGGGTGTAATTGGCTCTTCAATTACTATAAATAATTAGGTTGCTCAAGCTGCCAAACTAAGAGGTGCATCACAAATAATTGGAGTAGATACAAATTCTGACAAATATGAGAAAGGTATGATATAGTTACACTCTTCTCAATCCAACAATATCACCTAGAGTGACCAACTGTATTTGATGGATATTTTTGATGTTGTTGATGTTGTTATTTTGTTGATTTTACAGCAAAGGCTTTTGGTGTAACAAAAGTAATAAATCCAGGTGACTGCGATGAACCCGTTCAACAGGTAACCTATCTTCTGCTAACCTTGATAGTCGGAAAACAAAGCTCACAAGAGGCACTTCACTTCATCAAAGCAGTGGGCGTGTTTTCAGATTGGTGTTATAGTACTCTTAGAAGCATGAGCAGTAAGAATAATTCTGCTGCGCATTGATTGCAAATTTGCAAATTGTATGATATATAGTTATAGACCCCTTAAATTGTATGTAAAGCATGCAAAATGGGGAAATTGAGCTAGTGGAATAACCCCGAACAACGTATATGCTAGCTTATTAGCATATATTGCTAAACTTCATTGTGCATGAACACGGCGAAGGGCAAATGAAGATAATGAGACAATAGGAGAATGTTGGGTGAGACATTTAAAATTTATTTGATTTATTTATCTTTTTATGTTAGCACTATGAATGCCAAAATTGAAATTCAGATGGGACCGGTAACTGTTATAGATATAGAGTCATAAGCTAAAACCTTGGATTAGGTATGAAATTGAAACTGGAAAAAAAAAGTATGTTGGATCTTGCTTGAGATGTAACAGTTGCTTCTTAGCACCTTAATACTGCCTTTTAACCGAGACGGTGTTAGTACATAGTGCTCTTCAGCTTATTTGCTTGATGTTCTTGTACCCCAAAGTCTGATATGTACAATAAATTAGTTATTGGAATGTGCTTAATTTTAGTATACAGGTAAGGATACTATTTTTTTTGTTGGAATTGCAGGTTATTAAGAGGCTGACTGATGGAGGGGCAGATTACTCCTTTGAATGTGTTGGTGATACTGGAGTTGTATCTAGTGCACTGCAATCATGCTGTGATGTAATCTACATCCTCTCTTCTAGGTTCAGTTCTTCTATATAGTAACTTTAATTAAGTTTATGATGGTTTCTTTCTCGATATCTTTAGGGTTGGGGATTGACTGTGACATTAGGTGTACCAAAAGTGAAGCCTGAAGTTTCAGCACATTATGCTTTGCTCCTCTCAGGAAGAACATTAAAGGGTTCTCTATTTGGAGGATGGAAGCCAAAGTCTGATCTTCCATCATTAGTTGATAAGTACTTGAATAAGGTAAAAAGTTATATTATATCAGCAAAACGCAATTTGGTTTTTACTTATGTAATGCAATGAGTTTAGGCATTTATTTTGTTGTTAGCTTGCCTTTTTCTTGCTAGTCTAAATATTATGTATAGTGGCGAATTTTATGATGTACACTGTTATAATTGATCTATATGCATTTATTACACATAATATTTGATTTTATGATTATCTCAAACAATTGCTAATGCAACATCACATATACAGGAAATACAAGTCGATGGTCTTGTTACACATGACTTGCCATTTAGCAGTATCAATGAAGCCTTCAATCTGATGAAAGACGGAAAGTGTTTGCGATGTGTGATTCATATTAACAAATGAATTTTTGTATTATTGAAATTTTAGCCGCTTTGGCATTTCATGTATTTTTAGACCTTTTCTCTATTTGCATTGGTAACCAATATTTATTAGTATATGGGGAGTAAGGGAAGCTATTAGCTTCAATATGTCAAATAAAAGTCACCTGTTTTGAGTTTACCAGTTTTGGCTTTCATGGACAAAAGGAGGCTCGTTTGGCAATATGGAAAATAAATTAGTTTATATTGGGTTTTCTCTATTCGAAAGTACACTCCAAATCTTCATATTTATCAATATGCAATTTTATTTAAACCCAACTGCCTAATTATGGGTGGTGGATAAAGAAATCAGTTTGCTAACTTCCACCAAAATCAAGGCCATCGCTATTCTTCATTAATTAGCTTATAATAGAAAGGTATACAATATATGACTGGTTCTTTTCGTTGGACTTGTTGGTTTTGTGAAGGCCATGCAGTCATAAAGAAGGGAGTTTGTACATGCATCCATGTTATTTGCAAAAAACGAGGAAATGTTTTAGTCTGCTGATTTTAGTATAAGTCTATATATTCAGTTATAATTTAATTTTTTTTCTGAAAATGCAAGGTAGGACTTTGATCTTTGGTTTAATTATTTGATTAAATAAATTCGATTTGGAAACCCCAATTTATAGCAAATAAATATTTTTTAGCATGAGTAGGTGAAAAAAGTTGTGCTCCTCTACGGTACTGGTTGGTGTCACTAAAACAGATACGTATTCAGATAATAACAATTCAATTCATCAACAAATTAAGATACTAAGATATGCGTTATGCTAACAGCATACGAGCCAGTATCATTGAAGGATACATCACCCACCATTCTCTCTTTTAGTATTTGGATTAGCGCTCTTTCTAAGATCTTTCAAAAGGATGGATATGTGAGCTATTGAAGGGAGGCCTCCATTACATTTTACTCCGGCAATTCACTATTTTGGTTGATGCATCTTCCTTCGCATTTGTATATTAGTAATTATACCAAAGCTTAGGGCTCGTTCATCTTCAATTTGATTTGATGACCAATAATATTTTATCATTTTTTTTTTCCACCAATGAAATTAAGTTAACGAGTTTAACTAAGAAATAAAAGCAAGTGTGAGATTAGTCTCACACGAACTGAGAAAATACTTGGGTACATGTTCAAACGAGATTTGACTAACATTTACATTTTTTTGAAGTAAAAATGGGTCAACATGCCCTATTAACTAACATTTAAAATAGGTTGTGTATCCTATAGGGTTCAGTTTGTTGGTCCACCTCACGTGGGCCAGCAAACAAGAGGGTGGAGGTCACGTTAGCCAGCTACCAAAAGAAAGCAAAGAAGAAAAATTGGCAAAGAAGATGTCGGCTGCCGAAGGCAAAGAATTTTTCTTCACGTGTGGGACCCACGCTTGACAAAAATGGAAAGGTATTAAAGGATCAGTGTAACTCACAACGAAATTTGAGGAGAGAGAGGAGGTTGATCTCCTCTATAAATTGAAGATCCCTCATTCAGTTTCAGCATCGAAAACCAAGGAGAAACAAAGTGTGAGATCCTCAGAAACATAGAGAGTTTTTTCTGAGAAGAAAAATTAAGAGCCAATTTGTGAAGTTTTATCCACAAATTGAAGTTGTGTTGTTATTGTATTTGTGTGAGAGATCCACCTAAGGGTGAAGTGTGTAATCCCATTATTGTTATAGTGGAAGTTTTAAGTGGCCTACGGGTCCCGTGGTTTTTACCTCATTTTGGAGGGTTTTCCACGCTAAAAATCCCTAGTGTTATTTTGTCTCATTTAGTTGAGAAATTATCCTGGGATTGTGGAATTTATCTTACAACATTTCTCAATTTTTCCCAACACAGTTCTGAATTCCAGTATTATGTATTCTTCATGTAAATCAGGCTTCACAAACAACAGTTTACTTAACATCATAATAGTTGAGAATGATAGTTAAAATTTTTGTTTGCATAAACCAACTGTAATATTTTCTATTGAATTTTTTTTGGTAAGTAACTAATTTTATTGCCAAAATTTGCAATAAGCAATTACAATGTAAATACTCAAAGTACGAAACCTCACAACTCAAGGAACATACACCAAGACTAAACAAAACAAAACTCTCTCTAATAAGATATCACATAACATCTAAAGTATCAAAACTCTTTTAACTACTAACTGGCCAAACACAAAAAACCTCCTCAGCTCTTTGCACAAAATGTAGGATATACGCACATTGCTTTGCACCATTCCCTGTTAAGCTTTGTATCTTTCATCTTTGTTATTTTGCTGCATTGAATTTTCAGCTCAAATATGATTTGCTTAACACACTCCTTCACAGTTCATCTTTGTTATTTTGCTGCATTGAATTTTCAGCTCAAATATGATTTGCTTAACACACTCCTTCACAGTGCTGTTTATGCCCTCGAACACCACATTATTTCTAGCAATCCATATATGATAGATAGATGCTGCTCGAGCTGCTCTTCGATGCAGTTATTTGAAGAGTTTTCCCTGCACATATTCTGCAAAAGTATCATCACTTCCTGCCACTTTATAGGAACATGTTGGACTTGTACATAAGCCATGACATGTATCCAAATCTAAGACCTAAAATTACATTAAAAAATAAGTGCTTTTTATACTCATTGTGTAAAGAACACATATGACATAGATCATCAGTAATAACCCCAATTTACATCAGCTTTAACTTGGTAGGTAATCTATCAAGGCAAGTCACCCAAGCAATAAAAGAATGTTCAGGAAGAACAAACCTGCTCCAGACCAGTTTAGACCATGGCTTTCTCTCCCCTGCTGCAGTTAATATATTGTAGGTATAAGAGGTTCTAAAACGAGGCTTACCACCTCTCCACTTAATCACCCCACCAGAGCATTCAATCGATCGTAAAGTCACTTCCCTAAGCTTCAAGATTTTCCTAAAACACAAAGAGTAATGAGCTTTGCTAGCCAGGGACCAAAAACTGTCATTCTTCAAATAATAACTATGTATCCACTTTACCCACAAGGAATCGGTTTTCAAAACTATAGCTCATATATGTTTCAACATTAAAGCTTTGTTAACAATCTGCATATTGTGAAGTCCAACCCCACCTTGACTTTTTGGAGTGCATACTTTCTCCCATGCAACTTTAGCCTTTTTATGCTTATTCAAATCCCCTGACCATAGGTAGTCTCTGCATATTTTTCCCACCATTTTGACAACTTTCTTTGGTAATAAGAAAATACCTCCCCAATAAGTACTCATACTATAGAGGACGTACTTAATCAATTGGTATCTCCATGCAAATGATAGCAATCTTGATGTCCAACAAGTGATTCTTTTTGTTAACTTCTCAATTAAAACTCACACAATCATTTACTGATAAGGATCTTGAAGATAAGGGGATTCCTAAACACCTGGCAGGTAAGTTACCTTTGTTGTGCGCGGCGGAAGCTTTCTAGGGCAACACGAACAATAACTTGAACTAAACCACAAACAATATGCAAACCACAATCACAGCAAGAACAAAGAATTTACGTGGTTCGGCAAGTTGCCTACGTCCACCGGGCAAGGAGGGGTGAGTTCTTCCACTAGAAATCAAGAGAATACAAATAGGGTTACAAATCTCTCAGACCAAACCCTAAAACAAAGCTCTAGATCTCTCAAAGCTCTCTCACAACTTGATGCAATGATTCTCTCTCTTTGGCTGCTCAAATTCGTTCAACCTCTACCCTAAACAAACAGGTTTAGGTATATATAGAACTTACAAAACGAACCGGGTTGAAAACCAGAAAAAACTGATATCCGCTTCGTCGGTCGACCGGACCGGTCGACCGCGATCAATTCCGGTCGACCGGCCCGGTCGACCGATCACCATCCAGCAGTGATCAAACCGGCTGCATCTAAAGACTGCCTACGTATCCTCTTGCCCAAGGAATCAAGCCGAACGTAGTTCATATTAATGGCCTCCAAAGGCCTCAGCACTGAAGGATGTTCAAAAGCTTCAAACAATGACCAAATTTCACTCCTGAAACAACTTTGGTCAACATATCTGCAGGGTTGTCATTTGTGTGGACCTTCTCCAATATGACATCTCCATCATCCAAGACGTCCCGTACAAAGTGGAATCTGACGTCGATGTGCTTCGTGCGCGCATGATAAACCTGGTTCTTCGCCAAATAGATAGCCGACATACTATCACAATATATCCGAATAGTCTCCTGTGCAATCCCCAAGTCCTCCAATAATCCACGCAACCATAAAGCCTCCTTAATAGCTTCAGTAACTGCCATATACTCTGCCTCTGTAGTAGAGAGAGCCACTGTGGACTGAAGCGTGCAACGCCAACATACAGGTGCACCTGCCAATGTAAAAGCATAACCTGACGTAGACCGGCGTTTGTCAAGATCTCCAGCATAATCTGAATCCACATAACCAATACAAGCCTGCCCGTCCTTCTCATCCTTCTGAAACACTAAACCAACATCCACGGTGCCTCGAACATACCGTAGAATCCACTTCACGGCCTCCCAGTGACCCTTCCCGGGGTCATGCATGTATCTCGATACCATGCTCACGGCCTGTGACAAATCTGGCCTCGTACACACCATCGCATACATCAAGCTACCTACTGCACTAGCATATGGGACCTTCGACATATAATCTCTGTCCTCAACTGAAACAGGTGACATCAACGCTGAAAGCTTGAAGTGGGGAGCCAATGGTGTGCTAACTGCTTTTGCATTGCCATCAAAGCTGAATTTCTTCAACATCTTCTGCAAGTAGCTCTTCTGTGTAAGCTTCAATTTCCCCTTCACCCTGTCTCGCTCGATCTCCATACCCAATATCTTCTTTGCCTCTCCAAGATCCTTCATCTCAAACTCGGATGATAACTCCTCTTTCAGCTTTCGAATAGCCGAAGAATTCCTGGAAGCAATAAGCATATCATCAACATATAAAAGCAAATATATGAGCTCACCATCCTGTAGCTTGTGCATATAAACACATGGGTCATATGGGCTCCTTGTGTACCCTCGGCCAATCATAAAGCCGTCGAATCTCTTATACCACTGTCTTGGTGACTGCTTCAAACCATAAAGAGACTTCTTCAGCTTACAAACCAAATTTTCCTTTCCTGCAGCTTTGAAACCCTGTGGTTGTGTCATGTAG